AACGCGGTAGAATTCTCAGAACGCTAACGTCATTTACGAGGTTCCTCGACGCATAAAAAGAAGCTGGAGAATACGATCACAGCTTCATCCAGATTCACCTCGATGGAATGAGACAACAGTGGGAAAAATTCGACGAAATACAATTAAACATAGAAGAGCTTGATCCTTCAGAGGAATTACGAAGTTACGAGATGCAAGTAAATTATTACACAATTGTCAACCGCGCAAACCAATTGGTAATGTCAAAACAATCCAAAACCTCACAAGCAGTTACTGCACCAATGGCTGTAATGTTACCAGATTTGAGTTTATCAAACTTTGACGGCGCATCGGAGTCGTGGGCTTCGTTTTTCGATATATTTTCATTGATCAAATGCAGCCAGCTGCATTGAAGCTCTCCCGGCAACGGACGCAAACTATGCGGAGATGATAGAACTTTTAAAGGGCAAATTCGACAACGCGAGGAAAACCATAATGCAGCACTGCAATACCATCCTGGAAATGCCGAAACTGACGCGAGACTCTCCAGAAAATCTGAGACACTATCAAGCAACACCTGAGGGCCTTGAAGAATCTTGGTGAACTCATTACAACGTGGAATTCATTGTTGGTTACCACTATTCTATCGAAGGTTATTCCTAATACAGTGGGAACTTACTCTCAAAGACAATAAAATGCCCATCTATACAGAGTTCCTGGATTTTCTGGAGAAGCGGGAAAACTGCGGCGTGGAGATAACACAGAGAAGTCCCACGAAACAATCTCATCCGACAGAACGCGACAAGGTGCATTCGTGACCAAAAAATAACCGCAGTGCCCGGTCTGCAAGGGCACGCACGGAGTCTGAGCATGCCAAAGGTTCAAAGAAAAGAGAGTTTGCCACCGACGACATCACACGCTGCTACACATGCCCGAAGAAGCAACAGAAACCAGTAAGTCAAAATCAGTCCAAGAGTGAGAACACTACGAAATGGCCGATGGGGAAGCAGAAGAAGATATTCGTTGCTAATACTATCATGTCCGAGCTGTTAGTGACCGCAAGAGTCAATGTGTTAAACAAACACTCTCAAGCGGTCGGGCATTGATAGACACATGTACAACAACAAACTTTATTTCCAAGAGCTTCGCGAAGTAGCTCGGAATCCAACAACGAAGATGTCATATCCCCATTGGCGGACACAACACAATCTCCACGATCGCAAGAGCCACCTTCAAAGCAATAATCAAATCTCGCAATAGTTCATGGACACTCACATTTTTAATAGTTCCCAGCATTTCGTCACTCATACCCGAGCAGCAGATAAATTGATCAAAAATCAAAATACTAAGGAACATTAAACCAGCCGACCTAACTTTCCATCGACCTGCACCAATCGAGATGCTTCTAGGTGCCGGGGCAGTTCTCTCAGTACTTTGCATTGGACAGATTAACCTGTCTCCTCTCAACGGTCCAACCTTTATTTGCAAAAAACTAGGTTCGGATGGGTCATCGGGGAGAGTGCACCGACCACTAGTGCGACTCACGCAATCATGTGCCACTCCATAACCGTTCTACAAGCCGACCTTACTCGCTTCTGGGAAATCGAGGAAGGGCCGCAGATACATAGACTATCGGAATACGACGCGGCGTGTGAAGAACACTTTCGCACCCATACGACACGCTATTCCGAAGGAAGGTATATCGTTCAACAACAAGAAACTCGGCGAATCTAAGGCCGAAAAGAGGTTGCTTTCCTTAGAAAGAAGGCTACAAAGGGATCCTTGACTTAAAACAGCAATATTATGCCGTCTTACAGAAATACTTAGATCTCGGACATCTATCCGAAACTAAGCCTAACCATCAAAACAAGGATGTTTTCTCCTACATCATGGAGTAATAAAAAGCTCCAGTTCCACAACCAAACTAAGGGTCGTCTTCGATGGGTCAGCCGTCACCAGCTTTGGAGTATCACTCAGTGAAGCACTACAGGAGACCAAAACTCCAGGACGACCTACTGCATATCCTTCTTCAATATCGTCATCAGTACGTATTTACTGGTGATATGGAGAAGATATAGGCAATTCCTCATACGCGAAGAAGACAGATCATATCAAAACATCCTATGGCGCGACATCAACTGGCACAAGATGAAGGACACCGTTTTCCTAAGGCCGCTGAAATCCTGCAGCGGGACTTCTACGCTCTCACTGACGCTCCAACACAAGAGGAGGCATTCGCTCTACGAAAACTCACACAGATTCTCAAAACTGCTGGCTTGAACATAAGGCAGTGGGCATCCAATGATCCGCATTTGTTGCGTGATCTACCACAAGAAGCGATCAACGAGAAGATGTACTTGGGGGATTTGTCCAAGTTGAAGACACTGAATTGTATGGGACGTTGCACAGGATCTCATACAATACTCAGTTAAAACGACGATGCCCCCCAACCCGCATCACAAAACGCGGTACTCCCTGCTACACTAGCCACCGCAGTTAAACAGGTTTTATGTATTGACATTAAAAGGACATTTTTGTGGACAGACAGCACTGCCGTATTTCACTGGATTAATTGATCTCCACATACACTCCAAACATTTGTTGCGAATCGCGTCGCAGAGATTCAACGCTTCACAAACGGAGCAGAGTGGCGACATGTTGGAATGGTAGAAAATCCAGCCGATTTGATCTCGCGAGATCAATCCCCGACGGAGTTTCTACGGCTCTACTCCAGTTGGCAGAATGAGTCTGATTGGTTCACCAAGAAGGAAACCCAATAGCAACTTGGACGGCAACACCCCAGAACATGTTTTAGAAAGTAGCTATTTGTTTAACCACGACATCCATCGACGCAACTATCATAAAAAAATATTCATCGCGGGGGAAGCTAGTTCGTGTCATTGCCTATTGTTGATGGAAATAACGCTTTATGTGGTTCGAAGAACATACTGGCCTGTTGATGGCTGAAGTCAGGTGTGGCGCGTCATAAAAAGATGTCATCGTTGCTGCCGAGTTCAACCACCATCAGTCAACTACATCATAGGCAATCACCCGGAAGCAAGAGTGACGGCGTCACGACCCTTCATCCACGTCGGGCTAGATTATTGCGGTCCGTTCCTAATTAAGGAGGAAAAACGACATTGTAATCGTAAATTGATATTTTATGTGCAGAAATAAATGGAAAGTATAATAAAATTTTATCATTTAATGTTTCATTATCAACAAAAATAGATTTTGGATTTATATATTTTATCAAAAATTGTTTAGTACACGTATACTTGATAAATTTT